GTTTTATTAGTTCAGATTAAATTTCTTAATATTTTACATAGTAAATGGAAAGAGTAATAGAGTAAACCGTGATGAATTGTCTAATCTACCTTTATAAACAGGATAACAAATATTTGTTTGAACCAAATTCAAAACACAGGAAATGGTCGCTACTTTGGTGATAGTAAAACTTTGTATAAAGTTATTCTTAATTTCATTGGTACACGCTGAGAAAATAAAGGATAGAGAAATAGATGATGATGGCCAAAAAATATAAAAAAATAAAAAAATTATATAAACATTACAAACATAAAGAAAGGAAAGTCCACCAGTTCAATACTCTTCAACTTCGTACTTTATTTGGTATTTTTTACTTTTTTTATTCGAGAGTCAAAGACGAATCTTTTGTAGACGAAACGCGCGGCTAGCACACACAATTTTGAGTCTGGTATCTCAACCTCCGGCGCAGAGATCATATCCGTTCCGTTCAATACTACGTAATAATACACTCAATATATTAAATGCATATATTGCGGAGCATGTACGGAACGGATATGATCTCTGCGTCGGAGATTGCTGGTATTTATACAAGTTTATTCAGACCCTCAATAAAGAATGATTATATAATTCTGGTCAAAATATTCCAAACTGGTTTTGTAATTAAGTTGTGGGTATAATGTAATATAGATTTAAGTATACCCAGTGGTGTGCACATTAAAAAATCTTCAGATCATGAAATTCAAAACTCTGTTCCGTGTACATTCGGAAATATTCCATGATTTTATTTTCGACCAGTTCATCATTTGAAAACAAACATGTCAAACATGTAGGACCGTTGTGTTTAAGACAGAACAGGTACACATGAGCTGTGTAGACTGATCACGACCTTCACAAAAACGAAGAGGAGTAAAACACACGAATACAAAAGAAAAACACAAGAACATGTTGATAGAAAAAGGTTTTACCTCGATCTGTGGAAATTGCTGAATCAAAAGAAAAACAGAAAGAGTTTCATCCAGCAAAGAGTAGAGGTCGTCAGAGTGGCTAATGGTACTGTAGGAGACGTTATTCCCGTTAAACCGGAAGTATGTAGAACAAAAGAAGGAGGGAACCGAGAAAAAAGGAACACAAGAACAGAATGCAAAACAGAAGAAAAACTATAGTACTTAGAAAGAAAAAAATACTAGAGAAGACACAAAGACACGGGGTACGGGACGGTATAAAAGTGAGAAGATTTAGGAGAAAAAGAAAATACTAGGGATAATACATTTGGATTATTTGTAAATGTGAAGAATTCTCAATGTGCAACCCCGAGGATGGACGTTATCTGAGTGAGAGATAAAAACCAAACAAATGTAACAGTCGCTGAGCAATTATTTCTGCTCTCACCTGATAATCCATGCAAGATAAGTGCTAGTTTAACAAGAATATTTAGCATATAAGAAAAGTATCTTTAGTTACTTACACACAAATCCGATGAAGCAACTGAAACTAGATTAAAATACACCTGTGACGTAAATCGTTTGTTCAAACTCCCCATGATTTTTCAGGAATAGACAGTTATTTGGACTTTCTCTATAACCAGATAGAGGAAGGACGACATACACATTTTGTTCTTATGATAGAAGTAACACATATAAAACCTCTGCATTCGTTAAAAAAAATGTCCGCCTTTATTGGCTGATATAATCAGAAGAGATTTGACCCGCTAAAATCAGACGAAGAAATTATGCACGTGCAACATTTTTCCTCGCTATAGAGAATAAACTCTGGGTTGTACTTTATCAAAATATTTATTGTCAGTACATTGTATTTGTTTTACAATCATGAAATGGACATTGGGATGGTCTTGCTGATTGATTTGTTTATCGCTGAACTGTTTCTGCTATGCATAGAACTCATCAAAGATAATGATTAAAATGTATTCTTAGAATATTACAGTATTACCTTAGAAAAGCCAAATGACATTCCAACTGATGCGTTATTTCAGTTCTATTCCCAGGTTTTACTGTTCAATATTTGATAATTTAATAAAAATTGTCTGACCCAAGTAACCAGCATCTAAATTAAGACAACAGTAGTTTACCGACGTTCAAATCCTGTCAATCGATTTAGAAGAGACGAATTTAGGTAACAGACAAAAACTTATTGAATCGCATGTACTCCGAAAGGAACGAGACCGGTTGGTGTCGACAGAGTCAGCGTCTCATGCTATGCATGTACCATCCGTCATGCGAATCAACATTCAGTCAAACTTTCACAATCTGTAACAGACGACTTACATAGTATCTAAAGATCTGAGGCCTCAAAAACATGGTGCCAGTGAGTTGAGACACCGACAAATCGTATCGGTCGCCAAATACGTGATGTAAATATTTTCAACATCACACTACATTTTTCAAATTAAGTATAAAATAAAATATATTGTCTGGCTAAAGATGGGTTTCAATTTGTCAATAAATGTATGATTAGTCTTATGCATTTGAGGACAAATGCCTTATGATTAGTGGTTTATTTTGATTCACGACGGTTGTAACAAGTACGACAGTACCTGCGTACCATTACTAAGCACTTGATATCACACTCAGTTTTTGAAGCGTTGCTGTAGGCAATTTTATTTTGCTGTGTACTGTTATTTTGGACTATTTCTCTGCCCATGTTGTCGTTGACTTTCGTCGATTTTCTTTTTTTAATGCTCCATAGTATCTTCTATGCCGTTTGATTGCTTTTCGTTCCGTATAAATAATATTGAAATGGTAAACCTTCTGTCATATTAACCTTAATATCAACCTTCAGAGAGGATCAAACTTTCCTTGACCTACCTTTTCGGATGATTAATATAAACCTTGTATTAAATTTTATATAAATGCACTAAACCTAGTTAGTAAATCAATTGCATATCATTTGAATCTGTAGATACTACATGATTTGGTAAGATATAAAAGAACTCCCTATTTTTTCAGGAGAAAATTACATCTTTATATATTCGAATTTCTAGAGGTCACTACATAACAAAACATAATAAAAAATTAAGATTGATTTTATTTTTTATCTTTATACATCTACAGTTCTTTCAGAAACGAATATATCTTGAAACGCTTCTATTATCCTAATATCTAATACTCGTCTGCATTTAAGCAGATTGCAGAAAAAATTATTTTTATTTCCAAATTTATGCTTCTAGCTACATTATGGATTTGTACACTTGATCTCATTTTAACTTAATTGAACGTTAATTGTGACCGGTGTTCCTTTTGAATACTTTTGTAATTGTTGTTTTGCAAACATAGAAATTTATTATGGAAGTATGCAGGATTGATTGGTATTATTTGTGATACACGTTAGTGCGCAAATTTAAAGTTTGAAACGAAACTAAAATGTGTTCTTTGCCTTTCTGTGTGGTTTGTCCTGGGAACTGCAAAAGTGTCTTTCTGTTCGGTTTATGACGTAGCTGTATGAAATCTGTGAAGAACAGCAACAGGTATAAGGGCTTGGGACGGTGTGATTTCTTATCAGCAGGTAAAGTACAGTCTTAGGTAAAAAAAGTTTCACCTTTCGGAAATTCCCCTATTATTTGATATAAAAACACACTTTTAATAAAATTCAACCGAAGATATTTCAAGTCTAAATTGATTGATTTGTTTTCATTAAATGCATAAATATCTGCAGTTTCTTTCAATGTTTATGAAAAATATTTGTGATTTATATGTTTAGGAAAATCACTGTTTAAAGACAGATATGAAATTCTACACGAAAAAATCATATGGCTATATAGAAAATATAACTATTTATTTCCATATTTGTATACAAATAATGATTTCTTAATAATGACATGTTATAAAAATATCTCATAATAACCATAAAAAACTGTACATATTTTTGAGTTGAACTTTCATTAAAATCAGACCTAAAATTATTTTTTGACAATGTTTTTAAAAAATGTGTTTTTATATGAAATGATAGGGGAATTTCCGATAGGTGAAACACTTTTGACTTAAGACTGTACTATGAGTTTGCTTTCAATAACTGTGAATTCAGTAAATAAAGTTGTTTATTATTTCGTGTTCGGTATTATCAATTGTACCGCGAGATATGTAAGGTTTTTTTCTGATTGGAAAATCATTTTTTTTTTCATTTTATGAACGTTTTATAGGTCTACTGATCGAAATCAGTATAAACCTAATTAAACCTCGAGTGGCCGAGTGGTCTAAGTAGTCGAACTACTGTCAACACTGAGATTGTGAGTTAGAATCCCGCAAGTGGCAGGTGCACTCGACTCCAGTCTTTATTAATTGGATTGTCAGTTTTCCTACCGAAGGTTGGTGGTTCTCTGCGGACACTCCGGCTTCCTCCACCAATAAAAACTGACGACCGCCAGGAAATAGCACAATAGTGCTGAAAGTTGCGGTAACCAGCAATCAATTAATCAATCAATCGATCCGATTTAAGACAGATATCGATCAGTTTGAGAGAGATTTATCAGTCTAGTCCTATCCCAGAATCCTCATTAGCTGTTGTCTTATGTCATATATAAATGAGAAAATATATTTGCAGACTGCAGTTTGATGCAAGATCTCTGAATGTTTCAGTCTTATTTATTCTTAAATTTTATAAATTCAAGATTTAGAGCTTTACATGTATTGTATAGACATTTGTATATCGTTGAATACTGTATGTTTCCCTCTAAATGTCTTGATATTCATTGTAATCGAAAGGCTGTTTCACATGCCCCACATCTACTTGACGTGACGTGACGTAATTTTCATTTTGGGTACGAACAATGAAATAGCCAACAACCCGTTAGATTCGGAAACGGTGAATATTGACGGTTTGATTAGAATGATATTTTGGGACTAATGAAATGAGACGTATTCGATGGAAACAGATAAAACATGAAGCTGATAACATTTTACTCAATATAGCCTACCCTCTTCCAAACGTCAATTCACTGCCTTTTGAATCTAGGTGTGCTATAGTCTAAGAAGTTACCATACATTTGGAATAGAAAATTTCAACATGAATTGAATGCTAAGACAATATTTAATATATTAAATGTTAAAAAAAGAACATTATCCGTTGTCCGTTGTGGGAAAGAATCTGCATCTAATATCCTACAAAAAAAAAGTAAATAGAAAAAATATTTTAGTAATTTTACTAGTTGTATGTTAACTTCTCAAGTCTAGGAATCAATCAGTACTTTTGATATAGACAAACTTTTTCCATTCTTTGAAAGACATAATTTTTAACCCCGCCGCAGTTTGCGCCTGTCCCAAGTCAGGAGCCTCTGGCCTTTGTTAGTCGTGTATGTGTCTTTAATTTTAGTTCATTGATATATTTTGGAGTTTATCCACTGAACTAGTACACTTTTTGTTTAAGGGCTGTTTTCTGCTCTTTGGTCGGGTTGTTGTCTCTTTTACACTTTTCCCATTTTCATTCTTAATTTTGTTTCTTTACTTATTGGTTTTGTTTTGTTTGAATTTTGTCTCATAAACCTTTATCTGTATGTCCTTTAATTCGTATTACATATAAACGCATCTTACAATGTTATAATAGTTCACTTTTAATAAGTCTGGAGTCTGTTACTACCCATGATGCCATATTTTCGTTTTGATTAGATGTATTTGTATCGGATTTCAAAAAGAAAAAAAACCTTGGCATTCCTGGAACTTCTGTTTCAAACTAGCGTAATGTGAAAATGAGCTTCGAAGACAACTTTTATTGATTCATATATTCCTTTTGAGAAAGCATGTTATATGGTTCAGAAAAACTGGCACCGTTTATGTTATTATCCATGATGATTCACAGTGTGAAACAATGGAGGAAAGGTAAGTGAATAACATATCCTTATATTTGTTAAAACCAAATAGACAAACCACAGCGGTGCAGCTTTTATTTATCTAAAAAAAAAATATTCAAACAAAATTATCATACCTTTGCGACTTCCGGAACCACCCCCGCGTCCATATCCACCACCGTATCCACCACTGTAACCACTATATCCACCATATCCACCATATCCACCATATCCACCATAACCACCATATCCACCATAACCACCGCCTCCACCGCCTCCACCACTGGAACCACCATATCCACCATATCCACCATATCCACCACTGTAACCACCATATCCACCGCCTCTACCACCATATCTACCATAGCTACCCCACCAAGGCTGTCTTTCAACATATACATGTCCGGATCCTACGTATCTTCTACTACCTCCCCATCCACCACCCCATGCACCTCCCCATCCATCACCGCGTCCACCGCGTCCACCGCGACTCCCCCATCCACCACCCCATCCGTGGGCACTGACTGCGCTACAGAGCGCAAACAGCAGACAAATTGTAATCTTCATTCTACCAAAGAGGAAATTTATTTATTAGTTATGCATATTAGTTCTGACAAAAACCTTTGCACATGGATTTCCAGGATATCAAGAAGAAACTTTATTTGACTGTATTTGAATAGAGATCGTTTTAAGGTTACGAATACGATATAGTTTTAGGTGTTTGTCGGCTTAAACCTTTAAAAAGCGTGTGGAAATCAGTTGATCGTATGTATAATTATTAGCATATTAAGGTCAGTCAACAATAACTTACAACCAAATGTTCTACCGTAGAAATAAATTAGCACAACCGTATTTGTCAAATCTTTCGGAGTTTTGGGTCATCAATGCTTCTCAAATTCGTACTTTATTTGGCCAGTATTTAAACTTTTTTGATACGATTGTCACTGATGAGTATTTTGAAGACGAAACTCGCGCCTGGCGTACAAAATTATAATTTGGTATCTTTAAGGATGTTTTTTTATAGAGATGTTCAAATCTCATAAATCGATTAAGAAAATACAAAAAAACAAAAAAACAAAAACTGAGTGGATCGCATGAATACCGAAAGGAGCAAATTATACTATATTTCCTATGTACTAACATGCTAATTAAAGATATGCACCACTGCATATTATTTTACATCCATTTTTTGGTTTAAAAATCCATTTTGTCAATCTCAAATGTAATGGGGCTTTTTGATACTAATCTGAGTTATAAGAGAATCTTTTTCGTTTCTACGATTTGAGGCTTTTCGTAATTAGTATGATTTGGGATCATTAAAGCTACAAATAAAGATCAATCTAGAGAGTCATTGTGTTTTTAATACTCAGAATAAAAAAGAAGATTGTCTTAGCAAACATAATTGAGAAGTTGGTTGATAATGAGGCTTGCTGACATATAGATATTTTGAAAGATTTTAATTCATACCACAGCTATCAAATAGACATCCACTTAACTAAAACCAATAATTATTATAATCATGAGTTCTTACACTGGAATTTGAAAAGCTGAGCAACGAGCAAGTACTAATTTGAGGGGAAGTAGCTATTACATGGACACACAAGGAACTAAATAACACTACACTTATGAACAAATCTTAAAATAAATACTTTAATATGATGCATATGTTTTGTCATTGATGACAAAGTAATTTTCTTTATTTAATTTGTAGTAGAAGAGATCCGATAACCGTATCCCCAAACTTTCAACTATTCAAAAAAAAGGACGTTATCTGTATAGAGGCGGTTAAACTTCATACAATGTCTGAATGGCTTATTCTTTCAAATGATATGGAATGTTTACAAAAAAAATTCTTTCAAATAATATACCAAGATATGTATACTCCTTAACAATTTTAATATCATTTTCAACGTTAGATTTAGAATTGCTATGTATCGTTCTAATGGAAAATATTAGAATATATCTTTAAAACTCATGTTTATTTTCATATGTCCATCAATGTTATTTAAGAAATTGCAAATTTTCATGATCTGAGGACACAGATGTTTAATCTGCATAAAGAAGTTTAAAGATTGTTTTCTGAAGAAAGCAAAAGTAAAAAAAATAATTTATATCTAATCAAATCGTGTGATCTGATTGAGAAAACAGTAGTTTACCTATGTTCTTATCTAAATAAATCGATTACGAAGACAAATCAAAGTAACAAATCGCATGAATCCAAATGGAGCGAGACCGTGTACGTCGTTATGGTAAGCGTTTACGACTATGCATGCATCAGCCGCATTGCATATCCACACTCAGTCTAAATGTCACAATCGGGAATAGAAAAAACAATCTGTAAAACTAAAAAAAATACTGTATATCTATTCTGGTGTCTAACGATCTACGACTGCGAAAACTTGTCGATAGCGAGTTAAGAAACAGACATATCTAAAACGTATTTTAAACTATTAAAATATTGTTATGATTAATCTAAACATTTCATAATTTGGAGGATTGGAGTAGTTAATTTATGAATGATTGATATTCCCAAGGATTTTTATTAATAATGTTGTCTTGTTATTGTATTAAAAATAACAGTTCTGATCTATGTAAAAGATACAACCACAAAACTAATCCCCTGTAGTTTTAGAAACATCATTAATGGTAGCCTAAATTTTTGCTCTTTAAGAGATAAAGAAAGACCTGCAAGTAATATAAATGTTTACTCTTATGCAGGCATCTGCTTATAGTTTTCCCTACACAGTCGACATTGCCGACAATTACAAAAATAATAACTGTTGTTGACAATAGCTAACATTATACAGTTAATGTAAAACTGACAGAGAAAATGAATTTGGAAAATAGAAACTTACTTGATTCTTATTTGTTCAGCTCCGATAAGATGACACAGTGTGGTGCTGAATGGTTGATTCTTAAAGCCTTATATATTGTTCGTTCGGTGAAAAAATCAAAACTTATGAGACATGTTTTGATAAACAAACGAAGATAAATAATGGATTTTTAAACCACAGATTGATAAATGAGGCTTTTGTTTGTGACAATATACAATGGATCAAAACTGATAAGGCAATTTGTTTATTTTCTAGGAAAAACAGTATGCTTTTTGCCAAACGATAAATGCTTGAAAGTCAAAGACTGATGGATATTGTAGTTTTGTAAATTTTGTTGTAAACAAATCGGCTAAAAACCAGCATCATATGCTAATAATGCGTCTTTTCAAATTCCCCAGAAGCATTTCTTTGTACTTTTTGTAACATTAAAAAAAATTGAATTAATAAAAATAAACAAAATGAATCAACTAAATATAAACAGGTATGGCATAATATGATTTATTACTAATTGCCTGCTTTGAACAAGCTTTCATTAAATGGAGTACTCTTGTATTATGAATCTTTTGTCTTTATTTAGTTGTTACTTATGTTTCGTGGCAATCAAATGAGTCAAGCCATTTCCAACTGATTTTATAGTTCCTTTGTTTTGTTGTTACACAACTGTTCGAGAATAAGGGGTTGTTTGTGCACTCTCAAACATGTTTAACCCTTCCACATTCTGCTTGTGGCTGGCCAGCGTCAGGCGGCTTTAATTTTAGTGGCTGGTGATGGTTCATATCTGTCATATTTGTTTTTCCTTTATTGGTTTTCCCAAGTCAGGAGCCTGTAATACAGTGGTTTTTGTTGGTCTATGTCTGTCATATTTGTTTTTCCTAATGTGTATTGTTATTAATTAGGCCGTTAGTATTTTCTTTTGAATTAAAAAATCTCTAGACAGTTATTTGAATAAAATTAAGAAACTGTTCATATTCGTATATCTCATTTTGAAAACAATTCTGAAATTAGTAATAGGGTCCATGATATTTCCATTTCTAGAATAAAAAATAGACTCCAAGTACTCGCAAAGCGGTTTGTGTTCGTACCGACAGACAAAGCAGCCAATAATGTAGTGGTGGTGTGACGCATATACTACACGGAAGTTCTCCAAAACGAAATTATCGATTCTTCTACATTCAGGTCCGTACGCTCTTCAGAGAGTCAAATTGTAAACAAGCATATCACTGCCACTACCCAGCTCAAAGCCTCTTCCGAACATTTGAAAGCCCCTACTATGTACTGGTTACCTAAATTGCACAAAAAACCTTTAAATTCCGTTTCATCTCCGCATCTAGTAAGTGTTCTACTACTAATCTATCAGTGCTTCTAACTACCTCCCTTAATACTATCAAACTTGTTATTAACTTTTGTAATAAAGCTTATGAAAATAATGGTTTTAGATAAAATACATGCTTTTGATGGTCCTTTTAATTCTGTTGACAGTTATGATTCTTCTACTCTCTACACTACACTTCCACACAATCTTATCAAGAAAAAGTTTTCAGATTCAATTAACTTAATTTGCTGTAACTCGTTTAAAGCGTATTTCTGTAACGAAAAAGGAAAGTATGCTAGATACACTTACTGGAAATGTGAAGATATGATTGAAGCTTTAAATTTTCCCCTGAACAACATATGTACGTTTCGGCGATAAAGTGTATCGACAAATAGTAGGTATTCCTAACTGCGCCCCTTTAATAGCAGATTTATTCCTGTATTGCTATGAATCTCAGTTTATGACCAAACTCAGTAAAGACACGTCATTGTTACGTCAATGTACGTTTCGGCGATAAAGTGTATCGACAATTAATAGGTATTCCTATGGGCACTAACTGCGCCCTTTTAATAGCAGATTTATTCCTGTATTGCTATGAATCTAAGTTCATGACCAAACTCAGTAAAGACACGTCATTGTTACAATTGGTTGATACATTCAACAATACCTACCGTTATCGTGATGATATTTTTTCGTTAAATAATCCAGAGTTCTCTAAATTTACTACCGAAATTTACCCAAAGGAACTTATTTGAACTAAATCTAACACAAACAACAGTAGTTGTCTTTTTCTATATTTAAACATTTCAATCTCTAAAGGGAAACTCCATACTAAAATTTACGACAAAAGAGACGATTTTTTATTCCCTATTGTTAATTTTCCTTTATTAGACGGCGATGTTCCTTTGGCACCATCATACGGTGTTTATATATCCCAACTCGTTCGTTATGCCCGTGTGTGTAGTGATGTCATAGATTTTAATTAAATTATTAAGTCAGGGATTTCGTTACCATAAATTTACTTTTACTAAATTCTTTCATAGATACAAAGATTTGATTAGTAAAATTGGCTGTACCTGTAGAAAACTTATTAAAAACGGTATTTCACACCCTAAAGTTTACGGTAATATTGTACTAAAAGCGCGGAAATCACTTTGTGATCCGTGTAAACTCATCGAACCTTTAAACAAACTTATTAGTAAAGGTTATCTTACCAATGTTGTAATTAGATCTTTGAATATAGTTTACATTGGCCCAAATTACGATTTTGTCATCAGCAAATTAAAACATAACTCAATTTGTATTCTTTTCATACGGGATGTATAAAGACACATCCAAGTTCATTTTTTTTCTAAACTCCTAAATACTACTGCCTGTCGATACATTTATTTTTGGCATTGCACAAGTTATGTCTTCTTTGACTGTTCTTGACGGTAAAATACTAAATCCCTGGGATGTGTTTAGTTGATTTTAGTCGCTGATGCATGATTTTTTATTATTAATTGTTTTGGCTTTTAACTAGCTGTCAGTAACTGCGAGTATTCTTAAATCGTACTTTCTTGTTTATTTGACCTGTTGATACTATTTGTAATGTTTTTTTGTTATTTAATGTTTACTTATTCAGGGTTATATCTCGTCTATATACCAGCTTTGATAAGTGTTTGGTATGACTATAAATTTTCACTCCTTCGTACTATGAACAACAAAATTATTTATTTTGTAAAACATATTTCCGTTCTCCATTTAAACTGTATACCTTACAACAAAATTGGTTTCATTTACCTGTGTACATTATTGTATTTGGCGGCTTTTTGTTCAAGGTTATTGTTGTTTTTTTAAATTGTTTAACATTTCACAGCGGTATACTACAGTTGCCTTTAGTTATTCACCCCTTATTTTATTTTATTGATTTTGTATTTACATTGTATTATAGATCGAATTTATTCGTTCAGTGTATGTTCATTTGTGTTAAAATGTCTTTTGATTGAGTTAAGCCATTTCAATTGATATTGTATAGTGTGTCTTTCTATGTTGTGATGTTACACTATTGTTTCAGATAAGGGTGAAGATTGGTACCTATTTAAACGTTTAAACCCGCTGCACTTGTTTGTACCTGTCCTAAGTCATGAATCTGATGTTCAGTAGTTGTCGTTTGTTGATGTGGTTCATATGTGTTTCTCGTTTCTCGTTTTTTATATAGATTAGACCGTTGGTGTTCCCGTTTGATATTACACTAGTCTTTTTTGGGACCCTTTATAGCTTGCTGTTCGGTGTGAACCAAGGCTCCGTGTTGAAGACCGTACTTTGACCTATAATGGTTTACCTTTACAAATTGTGACTTGGATGGAGAATTGTCTCAATGGCACTCATACCACATATTCTAATATCTATATTTGCTCTTTGTTGAAGGCCATACAGTGACATTTAATTTCTTACATCCAAGATTTGTGTATGGATAACCAAAGATCTTTTGTATAAGCTTATAAGTTAGCAACAACATATTAACCTGAAAAGGCACTTAAATGTAAGTATATAACATTTTGCATGAGGCATGTTTGGTTACCATTTATTGCCTCTATTTTGGAAAAGTTGTGAATAAATTACAAAGACAAAAATCTGCATTGAACATAAAATTCTTAAAAAAAACACACTTATATATAAATAAAGAAAACGACTGACGGAATTCCTGACTTAATACTGGCACATTTAGATAGGAAGAATGAACAGAAGCTTACATTGCCCTTTACCTTTATGTTCCGCTATATAGATAATGTACTCACACTGAATAATTCAAAGTGAATATGTTGAACGCATTTACCCCATTGAACAGGAAATAAAGGATACAACATATACATTTAAGTATGCCTCATATCTCGACTTACATCATAAAGTTGACAATGAGGATCGGTTGATAAACAAACCTAAGACAAAAGAGTTCAGCTTCCCAATTTTGAACTTTCCATTTCTATGTAGCAACATTCCAGCACCGCCTACATATTATATCTTACAGTTGATACGATATTCCAGGGTTTGCGTTTCCTATCACGGTTTCCCTGATAGATGGTTGTGATCACAAGGAAGCAAGAAACCAAGTGGTGAAGTCGATGTCATCACTTTGAAAAGTTTACAAACGCCATCACAAGTTGATTGACCGTACGGAATATCTGTTTCACAGATGACTACGGAAATATTCCCCTTTTTCCCGAATGTGACCTACCAAACTAGACTGATCACCGGTGTTGTACTTATTTGAGCAACACGACGGGTGCCACATGTGGAGCAAGATCTGCATACCTTTCAGGATCACCTGAGATCCCCCAGTATTTGGCTTGGTTCGCGTTGAGCAGTCTTCAGTTTTCTGATTTGTATTTTGTGTGCTGTTGTTTGTCCATTGGTCTTTTTTCTTTTTTGCCATCGCGCTTTCAGACTATTTATGACTTATGAGTTTAAATGTCCCTTTGGTATCTTTCGCCTAACTTTTAAAGAAAAATGTTTTTCGACAAATTTATCTGGTGTAATACAATTTGGACCGTTTAATGTTATTTTAGCTTTAAAATTATTCTTATTCGGCATATTTCAAAAGGATATAAAACATATGTGTCTCTTGATATCCGCAGTAGTAAGCACAGCCAAAGTTGCAGTTCTAACAAGAATCGTCTTTGAAACTTTTCCATCCAAATTTTGTTGTTTTCAACTACTGCAACGTTACCAACAGTTATTTCTTGTTTTCTTAAATCAGATGAGAGAATTATCAATATTTGTTAATGACTAAAAAGAGAGCCAACGTTTCT